TTGTTCATCAATTAACAGCAACCAATCCCAAAATGAAGGCATTCAAAATTCTAATATTAATATTATTAATATTTTTCAATAATAACATTATCAGCATAATAACCCTTACAGAATTTTGTTAAAATCGCAATAACATGGAACAAACATTTACCCAAACAGACTATTCTTGAAAAGGAAAGGATTGAGATATGAAAAAATATATAATCCTCTATCTTCTTAACTGAAACAGTGGATTCGAAGCTGCCTGGTTCTTTGGTTGAGATTGAAAACTCATAAGTTTGGTTTAAAAAGAATAGCGCAAGAAGACCGGACAGGTTTACAATTCACCTCGTTCAAATGTCAAAGTTAGATGACAAACAAACACGACAAAAGACTCGAAGTTATTTGGTTCTTTGGTTAGGACTGAAAACACAACTTTAATTTAAAAAGACTAGCACAAGAAGACCGGAAAGGTTTACAATTCACCTCATTCAAATGTCAAAGTTATATTGCCTAACTTGATTAAAATATACCGTCATCCGTAGATGACAAACAAACACGACAAAAGAGCAGATGCCACCCCGTCATGGTCAATATCCTGTTTTAAAAGTAAATAGTATACTGATGGTATCACTCAATACTTCATCGCTTATGATGCAAAGTGGTCCGCTGACTTCGACCCAATAGAATAGGATAAAAGTGTCCTTATAGATAGGACTTTACATCGAAAATAAAAGGAAAGACAGTCATTTTAAGGTTGTTTCATTTAACACTGAAATGTCAACACTTACACTGTGACTCATTTGATGTCGGTCAAATAATATTGTCAGACTCTTGTAAAGATGATATATTAATAAACACAACTTCCCCTCGACTTTGTTTCATATATAGAAATTCAATTTATCAACGTTATTTTTAAACGCCAATTTTTCTTTCAAAATCACACCTGCTACATTCTCCTCTGTCATTTTTCCTCGCTTAAAAGCAGAGTGGATTGTTTTCAACAATGTTTACATTTTGGTAACTTAAAGTTTCCCACTGGATTCCCAAATTCTCAAAATTCCATTTTTGAAAGAAAAGTGTCAGGCTTGAAGAGGAGGACACGATGTCTAATAACAAAAGCAACGACTTCAGTGTCAACTCTACCTTAAAAAACAAGAGCGAAACACTAAGCATCAAGTTTTACATGTATATAGTTCCTTTGATGTACGTCGGATATGGCATTATATTTCTGGTATCACTGTTTGGAAACTCTCTCATTATATATACACATAATACGAACTAATAGCGCAAAGAAAACAGCAATAAACCACTTGGTCTTAAACCAAGCTTGCGCTGATCTTTTCATCACAATCATGTGCTTCCTTAATATTATTCGTGAGACTTCATATCAAGGATTGTGGTTTGGAGGAAATATAAGAAACATCACTTGCAAGCTATTTCTAAGAATCCTTTATGTCCTCACAGGTTTTTCCATTTGGCTGCTCGTAACAATTGCTGTTGATCGCCTTTACGCAATAACTCACCCGTTACAAAGATCACCTATATCTCGAAACCTTAAAAAAGTAATACTTATACTATGGACAGGGGCATTTGTTAATTCAATAAACATTTTTGATAACACGGTCGTGCAAAAGATTGAAGAATCTTACTTCTGCAAGTCGTTGACGAATGCTCTCCAAAAAGGACCATCCTTTTTCTTTTTAGTCCTTTAGATTATGACCACTGGTTTATATTTCCTTTGTGATTAACTATTGTTTACAGCGGACTGAATCCTTAAGTGTATTTTTACTTCAGTTCAAATTTTAGACAAGGACTTAGTGCCATTCCTTTTCGATCCCAGAGCATAGAACTTCAACAAATTTAAAGCAAATAATTACACACATCAAAGAGGTTCCAAGTTTCTTTATTTTTTCTTGGAGTAAACGAGAATACCGATTACCACAGTGATTTTCATTTTCATCCTCGGCTAATTTTCAATACATAATATCTCATCCTAAGACAACATATTTATGGCTTGACGTATGTTTCGATATTTGGTGCAACTCTACATAAGCTTTTCTAGGGTAAATTTTACAAGTTTGGTTGAATGATTTTGTGATGCGATGGCGTAAATATCTCTCTTTCTTATAGAACTGTTTAATATCAAGAACTCCAGTTTAATTGTCAACGTTGGAAAACAATAAAAGCTCGGAACACATTTCCTCACATGCAATACGGCCACCCGTGAACCAAATCAATACGTTTTGACCTTTAAAGTGTCTATTTAACTCGCCCGCTTTCAGTACCAGTAGATTGTTAATAATTTTTAAGTACTTCCAATTACCCAACTAACATTTTCAGCTATTGAAAAGAGACTCGCATGGATTTAAACAGTTTTTGTTTCCAAGAAATGGCGTTGAAACCTCTCAAAAATTCGTTACGAATGAGAAGATGGAGATATTAAAGGTTTCTGCAATTAAAAAGCCAAGCGTTCCAAAGGGTTTACTGTCAAGTCACTCGAAAGTCATCTCGTCCGAAACCTGTGAAAGTAAAGTAAGTAAGTTAAGTAAATCGCAAGGAATAAACTCCTAAAATGTTGACTCGTGAAACTCAGGTTGTTCGTTTCGCTGTCGTTTGATATCACGGAGATAGTAATCCTAAAATAGAACACGAAAATAAAAAAAACCCAGTAATATCAGTTACAGTGTGATTCTAACTGTCGCTGTTTTATCTGTGGAAGCATTCTGTTTCGAACGAAGATTCACATCGCCACGATTGGAACATTGGAAAACACCGCCATTTTGAATACGGCAGGTGCTCAAGAATCATTACATGGTTGCCAAGCAAGATTGTGACGTTGCGGTAAATTCAGACACGCCCTTAAAACAAATATATTTATTGCTAGCAACTAAACCTAATTACATACGAGGACGTGTGGGTTGTCCAAGTGACACCCGCCCCTTGAAAACAAAGTCAAATGCAAACTTAAGGAAAGTTCGTTATAAAAAAAATACTTATTACATACCTGATTTTGTTTTTTTCTTATCGCGATAAAATAAACTATTCCTTTTAAACTATAATAACAATAATGGTAATATCATTACTTTCCTAAACGCGAGCAAAAACTAAAGAAAACTAATCTGTACGAAGTGGTCCATGTGCTAAGTGAGAGCATGCTTTAAGGAGTTGCCTACTTGGAATTTTACTCGCAGTGTAGTCCTCCCAGTAGCCAAAGATTCATGCTTGAAGTGCGCGATATTTTTTACGCTGGATCCTTTGCAGTTTTCTGGCGTTGACGAGTCGAACTTGGACGATGCACACAAAGGACTCTCGGTGAAGCAGCTGAATCAGTAGGTAGAAAGGTAGATGAACTCTACCACCAGCGCGTCGGTTGAGGGAGTTATGCCATCCCTCGATATCATTATTGGTACGGACAGGCTGTCCGTAGACGCTCCAGGAACTGGGTGGACAAGCGTTGGTGTTGATCCATCGGATGCCGAAAGAGAACATGCAACGCACAACCAATCTATTCTTCCTCTGATCATTGCTAAACGGTAGGTGGCTTGGTCGATACCAGTCCCGCAGATACGATGCTGCCAAAAGCCGCAATCGTCGCACTGAAGGGCTTGCCGGCGTGGTCGAACTTCATTTCTGCACTCGATACAGGGATCGTATAATTCTTTTGCGCAAGCGTAACGATCTCGAGCTTCAGCTAGCTGATTATCTCGGAATGAGGTGGCTGTTATTAATTTACCCTCTTTATATATGGTTAACCGGATCAAAATTTACATGCGACCGGCCGAGGAAACAAGGAACAACTGAACAAGTCGCGATAATTTATGCCGCATCTGATCCTAAGGGGAATGATGCTAACACGCTTTGTTCGCGTGGTTAACATTAAAGAAAAAAATCGCTGTAAAAGTTTCAGGTTGTTTTTTTTACGATAAATCAAACTAAGCGAACTTGATGTATTTTTCTGATATGTGTGAAAAATTCTGATAACTGAAAGTGTTCCGCTTATAATTACTAGAATCTGTACCGTAGAATGACCAGTTAAGTTCATAGCAACGAACAACGCTGAAATGAACAGCGATATTTGAGTCTTTGTTTTACTTCATATTCGCATAGGTTCGCGGACGAAAACATTTACGAGTCAACATTTTACGAGTTTATTCCTTGCGAATGTTACTTTTCTTCAAGATTAAACATCCGATAAAATTTGGCAACATGACTCTGGTTCCGGGCGACATGACTTCGGGCAAGATGACTTTCGGGCGACTTGAACGGTTACTGTTCTAAAGAATGAGTAAAATTTAGAGTGAAGATTACTTGTGTTGAAGTTCCTTTAGTTTCTATGCAAGCAACTGGAAAATAATCTTCAGGACGTGAGTCATTTTCAAGGAATATGAAACATCTGAAAGAGCTGTAAAGAAAGAAAAAACACGCGTGAAAGTAATCCTTATTTGCCCTCGAGAAGATACGATTGCACATAATTAGGATTTTTGCAAGACACAGGGTACGTTTTCCTTTGATTCTAGCTTCATCGTGTTCTTTTTTTGGAAGTGAGAGAATAAGGTGGTTTGGTGTAACCGAAAATAAAACAATAATCAGAAGAAAAATAAACCGTTAAGAGGCTGCAAGGCTTTTTCTTAGCAGAAAGACAAAGCAATAAAAAAACTTCATTGGTAAAACAAAACAAAACATTTAGTACATGTCTTAGAAGATGAAATAAGTAACTCAGTAATATAAACGATTTTAAAGAGCTTTAATGAGGCCTGAAAAAATTTTGTACCTTCGGATAATTTTTTCAGCCTCTTCAAAAAATAATGCTTAGTTTGCATATGCCTTTGAGTCCATCATCTTTCAATCAACTTCAGAACTGCTGTCTATGCATTAATATTTTATTTCAAATTTAAATAATCTAAAGAAAATTACTTCCAAAACAATATGCAAATGTGCATCCCTTCATTTTGGTAATAATTTATATTATTTCTTGTGAGCTAATGTTTGTCACCACACGATTAATATCACTGATAAGAAAAGGCACTGTTCTCGAAGTGAAAAAAGAAAACTTGCTCCAAGCATACTATAGTTCTAATCTTCAAAACCTCAAATGCCAGAGATGGACTCATCCAATTTGTCGAACACCGGTGGTATTAACATAGAACCATTAATCAACACGAGTCTGAAAGTTCCTCAGAATGAAGGTAAAACATTTGCGTTGCTGACACACACAAATTAAAAGTACGTTTAACATGCAGTAAATTATAGGGAAACCTTTGTTGTAGTAAATTATGCGAGGCTCCAATATTCCTTGTAGACGGTTATGATGATATCTCTCTTTTCGCACCTCCATTATTCGAATTTATTCGATGGAACTTAACGGAAGCATTACGAAAAGCCGAGTACATATGAAATCTGAGGGGAAGAATCAACGCTGGACGATCACACCTCAAAGTAATACAGGAACAACTCGCGCGAACAGTTTGACATTCTTCATGCACTGACGCTTAAGATAGATATGATAAACCAATATGTGATAAACAATCTCTTTAAATATCAGAAGCAAACAAGTAAAATACCATTAAACTAATGCTGTTGAACCTCTTTTTACGCATTCGATCAAAATGACAAATTTGATTTTTTCCTTGTAGGAAATATTGCAAGGGGAAATGGAGAAGGACAAGGCTACTTAGAGATAGCGATGTTTGCTGCCTACGTCATCATATTCCTGGCCTCGCTATTAGGCAACTCCGTTATCATTCATATCATTCGAGCAGATAACTCCTTGAAGACCACAACAAATCGTTTGATAATGACCCAAGCATATGCAGATCTTTTAATGACATTCATAGAGCTTCCGTTTTCTATTTATCACAGAATAACGAATAGTTTATGGTTTGGAGGAGTTTTTGGTTTCATTACTTGCAAGATGACTCTGGCTGCTGTGTTTTCCGTACCACAATTTTCAGTATTGATGCTTGTCATGATTGCAGTTGACCGTTTCTATGCAGTACTTCTACCTTTGCGACAGTCACCTATATCAAAACATTTGAAAAAAATTATTGCGATTCTCTTGTTATGGTCTTCTGCTTGGTCCCTTTCCTTTATCAATGCCAAGAACTTTATAAAAGCCAATAAATCACATTATTGTGATTTATCACTTCTGTTTAATAACTGGAATGAATTCAACATTACTTCTCTTGTTTCATGCATTGTAGTACCTCTTTTGATAATAGTAAATCTTTATGCGGCTGTGTGCTGGAAACTGTGGTCTCGTAAAGTTCCAGGAGAAGGAGAACATCAGATCAAAGCTCAAAGAATAGCAAAAAGAGTCACCCTAATGATGATTGTGGTAGTAGTATTATACATACTGTTCTGGTTTCCTTCGTTTGTAATCGGCGTCTTGCATTTTTTTAAATATGCGAAGTTGCGGGGAAAGTTACTCTTATTATTTATGTGGCTGCCAACTTCCTATAGCGGCCTCAATCCTTACGTTTATCTCATATTCTGTCAAAACTTTCGCAAAAGCCTCAAAAAACTGTTCGGAAACTTCTTGCGACCCTTGTATAGTATTTCTCATCGCTCTCGTTCAGTAGAACTGCAGCAAATCTAAATTTCGTGCTCCATTACAACTAAACAAAACCGGCGCTGCGAAACTTTTACCATCCAATATGTTAATTAAATAGAGAGTGAAATAAAATGATATGATAACAAAGGTTTCGATCTTTGCTTCCCCAGATTTATCACTTCATAACAACTCGTGAATAACATCAGGTTTAAACCTTATGCTTGTATAGCCCTGCATTCACAGGTTTTTTTTTCAAATGAGTTTCCAGCGAAATGGCTTATTTTACCCATTGTAATCAAACCAAGATAAAATTCCAATAACACATATAATAATTATTAAAAAGTATCCCAATAGTAAATAAAACAGAGTGGATTAGACTGACTTACGGGGGAGCGAGTCGGGGTAAATGGAGGTGGTTTTAAGTGGATAGGGTTAAATTATGATGGGTTGCAATGAGGTATTGGAGTCGGGTAAATTAGCGTCGATCGAGATGTTGATGCTTCATTGGCCGTTTCTGTTTTTTTGTTTGTTTGTTTGTTTTTTTTCGGTTAACCTTGGGTTTTAACCCTTGTTTGAAAATCTCGGCCCGTTTTGAACATCAGAGTATAGAACTCAATCGAACTAAACAAAAAATTTGTGGTGATCTCGAGGATATTTATCACGAAGGTGAGTGATAAGCTGTTCAAGCAATTTTCACTCGGTCACTTCTCTTCAGAAGAGATTTCCTGAGGTTAAAAAGAAACATTTGGATATTTTTTGCTCCAAAACTAAGGGTAACTTCGGCAACATTAACATCGTGTAGCGAATGTATCTGCAGTCGTGCTTGGATAACTTTCAAGTAGCTAAGACATCGTGTAGAAAACCTCTTGCAAATTTACAAAGTTTAAAACTGAAATGAATATCTCTTTCTGGGAGGTTACTATACTACAGCTGTCACCGCTAGATAGCGAAACTTAAGTGAAATACAGTTTAAGTTAGGGAGAGTAAGTCAACAGAACAGAAGAACGAAACCTTTCTTCTTGGGTTCAATATTAAAAAAACTGATTATCATTCAGGAAAGGAGATGAACGAATGTACGGAGGATTCGTCAACAAGGAATCTACGAATGACCCAATAAGGTGCCTGGAGAAATAATGAAAATGCTGTTATTGACGCCCAAAACGAGAGCAAGTATAAGGTCAAGACACATTCTCATTCCATTAATTAAGATGGGGCTCATTGTTCAAAGCATAAACATAGAAAATTTTAAATTTTAATGGAAATTCACAAACATCTACAACTCATTTGATGATCTCATTATTTTTATGATGATGTTTTGATTAAAAAAAAAAGTTTCCGCGGCTCTTTTGATGAATTCAGGCGCATGAGAGAAATGAAATATAAATAAATATCAAACATACATAAAAAATACCACTTGAAAAATTATTTTTCCGAACACCTGAACAAAGCAGTGACTAAGCAAGTGGCTCAAACGGATTCTGAAGTCCCTACAATCCAGATATCGGAAAAAAAAATAAGAACAAGAAAACAACATGGAAAATAACTAAAAAAAGAGTTTCTAAAATCAACTCAGAGAAAAGGACCATGTTGACTAATCGATCAAACTTCAACTTCAACTCTATCTTAACGAGCACCGAAGAAACGGTAGAGACGGATTTTCATGTAATTATTCTAACATACTTTGTATACGGGACAATATTTCTAGTGTCGTTAGTTGGAAATTCTTTCCTTATACACATTATACGAACAGTCCCTTCCATGAAGACTGCAATCAATTACTTGATTTTAAACCAAGCTTGCGCTGATCTTCTCATTCCATTCATGCATTTGATGGATAATCTTCGTAACAGTTCTTATCATGGATTGTGGTTTGGAGGAAACATGGGTCACATTACTTGCAAGTTATATCTTGCAAGCTTTTATGTCCCCACATCTTTTTCTATTTTTCTACTCGTTGCAATTGCTGTCGATCGCTTCTACGCAGTATTTCGACCTTTGGATAGGACGCCCATTTCTCGAAACATAAAAAGAGTATTTCTGATATTGTGGACATGTTCGCTAATTAGTCCTACAACCGTTTTTATTAACCGGCACCTAGAGACTAGGAATAACTCTTACTTCTGCCATTCGAGAAAGTTTCTAAGATTTTATGAAGGGAAATAATTTAACGTCATATCATTAACCCTTGGCGTTGTCATCCCTCTAACGCTTTTGGCTATTATATACGCGAGAATATGCATAAAGCTATGGTCACGACAGGCACCCGGAGAATCAGAATCAACGCCAGCTCCAAATTATAGCAACAGCAAGAAAGGTTACCCTGATGATGATCGCAATCGTTGTTTTATTCATTATTTGCTGGGTTCCTTATTATATATCGATGGCACTGATATATCTTGGCCTTGTGAAAGACAAGGCAGTTTTATTTTCAGTTTGGTTAACGGTCTCTTACAGTGGCATTAATCCTTACGTTTATTTCGCCTTGAGTGCAAATTTTAGAAATGGATTGAAACATTTGTGTGGAAATATTCGTGTTTTTCCCTTTAGATCCGAGAGTATGGAGCTTCAAAAAATTTAACATTAATATATATATATAAATTAATTCAAACACTTAGATTTAGTAATGGGAAATAAAGGATTGGATAGCAGTGTATTCCTTTTTCGAATAACGATTTCTCGACGATAAAATCCTGGCGGAGAACCTTGTAAGAAAAAAAGGAGGTGTATAATTGCTAGCTAACTTCCGGCTAAGGCTCTATCTTCTTAGTATAAACAGCGGAGTCAAAGCTGCCTGGCTCTTTGGTTGGGATGGACAACACTGATAAATTTTATTTAAAAAGGCTGGCGCAAGAGGACCGGAAAGGTTTACAATTCACCTCATTCAAATGTCAACGATAGATGGTCAAATTTAATTGAAATATACTTCCATCCGTAGATGACAAACAAACACGACAAAAGATTAGATGCCACCCTGTCATGGTCAATATCCTATTGTGCCTAATTTTATTTTCATTTATTTTCCTCATACAGAGGACTTTACATAGAAAATAAAGGGAAAAAGATTCATTTTAAGATTATTTTCATTTAACACTGAAATGTCAACACCTACACTGTGACTCATTTGATGACTTTCTGATAATATAATTATTTTCATATAAAGAATTAAAGTAATCAACCTTAATTTTCAAATACAAATTTCTCTTTAAAAATTACACCTGCTACATTCCCCTTCTTGCTCAGAAGCAGAGAGGTTTGTTTTCAACAATGTTTACATTGTAGTAACTTAAAGTTTCTCACTGGATTCCTAAATTCTCAAAATTCCATTTTTGAAAGAAAAGCGGCAGGCTTGAAGAAGCGGACACGATGTCTAATAACAAAAGCAACGACTTCAAAGTCAACTCTGCCTTAAAAAACAAGAGCGGAACACTAAGCATCAAGTTTGACATGTATGTAGTTCCTTTGATGTACGTTGGATATGGCATTATATTTCTGGTATCACTGTTTGGAAACTCTCTCATTATACACATAATACGAACTAATAGCGCGATGAAGACAGCAATAAACTACTTGGTCTTAAACCAAGCTTGCGCTGATCTTTTCTTCACAATCATGTGCTTCCTTAATGTTATTCGTGAGACTTCATATCAAGGATTGTGGTTTGGAGGAAATATAGGAAACATCACTTGCAAGCTATTTCTAGGAATCCTTTATGTCCTCACAGGTTTTTCCATTTGGCTGCTCGTAACAATTGCTGTTGATCGCCTTTACGCAATAACTCACCCGTTGCAAAGATCACCTATATCTCGAAACCTAAAAAAAGTAATACTAATACTATGGACATGGGCAATTGTTACCTCAATAAACATTTTTGATAAAACGGTCGTACAAAAGATTGAAGAATCTTATTTCTGCAAGGCATTAACGACTGTTCTCCGAAAAAGGTGGACAATATTTAATTTTCTCATATTCGCAATGAACGGTCTACTACCTTTGACCCTCTTAGCGTGTCTGTACACAAGAATATGCATTAAACTCTGGACACGCCAGGTACCAGGAGATGGAGCAAATCAGAATCAACAACGAGCAACAACTTTAGCTACAGCGTTTAAAGTTACCAGAATGATGATCGCTGTCTTCTCGTTATTTCTTGTTTGCTGGCTTCCATGGATTATAACAATGACCTTTTTTCTTTTTAGTCCTTTAGATTATGACCACTGGTTTATATTTCCTATGTGGTTAACCTTTGTTTACAGCGGACTTAATTCTTATGTATATTTTTCCTTCAGTTCAAATTTTAGACAAGGACTTAAACTCTTGCTTGCAAACATTTGTGCCATTCCTTTTCGATCCCAGAGCATAGAACTTCAACAAAATTAACGCAAATAATGACACACATCAAAGAAGTTCCAAGTTTTCTTTTTTTTTTCTTGGAGCAAACGAGAATACTAACTATGTCACAGTGATTTTCATAATATGCTATCCTCAGGGATGGATAAGATTCTCGACATATATTCTCGACATCCTAGGACAGCATATTTATGGCTTAAGTGACGTATGTTTCGATACTTGATGCAACTACACATAAGCTTTTCTAAGAAGGCGAATTGTTACAATTTGTTTTGATGATTTTGCGATGACATGGTCATTACATGTCTCTCTTTCTTATAGTACTATTTAAAACCAAAAACGCTGTGAATACCTAGGAGCTGAACAGTTTAGTTTAATTGTCAACGTTGGAAAACAATAAAAGCTCGAAACACATTTCCTCACATGCAATGCGGCCATCTGTAAACCAAATCAGTAGGTTTTGACCTTTAAAGCGTCCATTTAACTCCCCCGTGTTCAGTACCAGTAGATTGTTAATAATCTATAAGTACTTCCAATGACCTAACTAACATTTTCAGCCATTGAAAAGAGACTCCAATGGATTTAAAAAGTTTTTGTTCCCAAAAAATGGCGTTGAAAGCTTTCAGAAACTCCTTAGAAATAAGAAGATGGAGATATTAAATGTTTCTGCAATTAAAAAAACAACAACAAAAGAAAAAAGCCAAGCGTTCCAAGGCATGATTAAAATGTAGAGTAAAAATTGCCTGTGTTGAGTTCCTTTAGTCTCTAGGCATTTCTCTGGGAAATTATTTTCAGGACGTGAGTCTTTTTCAAGTAACACCTTTAAGAGTTGTAAAGGAATAAAAAGGAAAAAGACAATCGAGTTTTAAAGGCGGCATTTGCTACCATTAATTTGGTCACGTTTAGTCTAGATAAATGTCAAACAAAGGAATGAACATCCTCACATCCATATTAATTTGTTTCTTTTATTTCTTTCAATGTCAATCGACATCTGTTCATCGTCTGAGTTCCCATTTTGCCATGGACAAATCTCCTTAGTTCACACGTGTAACTTTCCAACTTTACGCGACGAAAGGCCTTAAAGGTTTCCTTTAAAAACATTTAACGTATAAAATATGAAATTACGGGTGAAAGTAATCCCTATTTTCCCTCGACAAGATGCGATTGCACATAATTAGGACTTTCGCAAGACATAGGGTACGTGTTCATTTGATTCTAGCTTCATTGTGTTCTTATTTTGGAAGTGAGAGAATAAGGTGGTTTGGTGTAACCAAAAACAAAATAATAATCAGAGGAAAATAAACTGTTAAGAGGTTACAAGGCTTTTTCTTAGTAGAAAGACAAAGCAATAAAAAAAACTTCATTGGTAAAAGAAAACATTTAATACATATATTAAAAGATGAAATAAGTAGCGCAGTAATATAAACGACTTTAGGAGCTTTAATGAGGCCTGAAAAAAATTTACAACTTCTCGGATAATTTTGTCAGCCTCTTTTGAAAAATGCTTAGTTTGCATATGCCTTTGAGTTCATCAACTTCAATCAACTTCAGTACTGCACTCTATGCATTAATATTTTATTTCAAATCTAAATAATCTAAAGAAGATCACGTCCAAAACAATATATAAATGTGCATCTTCATTTTGGTAGTAATTTATATTATTTCTTGTGAGCTAATATTTGTCACAACACAATTAATATCACTGATAAGAAAAGGCACTGTTTTCGAAGTGAAAAAAGAAAACTTGCTCCAAGCATACTGTAGATCTAATCTTCAGAACCTCAAACGCCAAAGATAGACACACCCAATTTGTCGAACACCGGTGGTATTAACAACGAACCAATAATCAACATGAGTCCGAAAGTTCTCTAGATAGAAGGTAAAACATTTGTGTTACTAACACACAAATTAGAAATACGATTAACATGCGGCAAATTACAGAGATACCTTCGTTTTAGTAAATTATGCGAGGCTCCAATATTTCTAGTAGACGATTATGATGATATCTCCCTTTTCGCACCTACATTATTCGACTTTATTTCGATGGAACTTAATGGTAGCATTACAAAAAGCGGAGTACATATAGAAATCTGAGGGGAAGAAACAACGCTGGACGATCACACCTCAAAGTAATACAGGAACAACTCGCACGAACAGTTTGACATTCTTCATGCACTGACGCTTAAGATAGATTATGTAAAAACCAGTATGTGATAAACAATCTCTTTGAATATCAGAAGCAAGCCGGTAAAATACCATTAAACTAATGTATTTTACTAATGCTGTTGAACCTTTTTTTACGCATTCGATCAAAATGACAAATTTGTTTTTTTCCTTGTAGGAAATCTTGCAAGGGGAAATGGAGAAGGACAAGGCTACTTAGAGATAGCGATGTTTGCTGCCTACGTCATCATATTCCTGGCCTCGCTATTAGGCAATTCCGTTATCATTGATATCACTCGAACAGATAACTCCTTGAAGACCACAACAAAGTGTTTGATTATGACCCAAGCATATGCAGATCTTTTGATAACATTCATAGCGCTTCCGTTTTTTCTTTATCACAGAATGATGAAAATTTTATGGTTTGGAGGAGTTTTTGGTTTCATTACTTGCAAGATGACTCTAGCTACTGTGTTTTACGTACCACAATTTTCAGTATTGATGCTTGTCATGATTGCAGTTGACCATTTTTTTTGCAGTACTTCTACCTTTGCGACAGTCACCTATATCAAAACATTTGAAAAAAATGATTGCGATTCTCTTGTTATGGTCTTCTGCTTGGTCCCTTTCCTTTATCAATGCCAAGAACTTTATAAAAGCGAATAAATCACATTCAACATTACTTCCCTTATTTCATGCCTTGCCGGTATACCTCTTTTGATGATAGTAAATCTTTACACAGCTGTGTTCTAGAAACTGTGGTCTCGTAAAGTTCCAGGAGAAGGAGCACATCAGATCAAAGGTCAAATAATAGCAAAGATAGTCGCCCTGATGATGATTGTGGTAGTTGTATTACACGTCCTGGCCTTTTTTCCTTCGTTTCTAATCGGCGTCTTGCACTTTTTTAATTATGCGAAATTGCGAGGAAAGTTACTTTTATTATTTATGTGGCTACCAACTTCCTTTCGCGGCCTCAATCCTTACGTTTGTCTCATATTCAGTTAAAAAATTTCGCAAGAGCTTCAAAAAACTGTTCGGCAACTTCTTGCGAGCGATAAATCGTATTTCTCATCGCTCTCGTTCAGTAGAACTGCAGCAAATCTAAATTTAGTGCTCCATTACAACTTTACGAGACTGGCGCTGCAAAACTTTTACCATCTAATATGTTAGTTAAATAAAGACTGTAATAAAATCATATGATAACAAAGCTTTCCATCCTTGCTCCTTTAAATTTATCACTTCACAACAACTTTTGAATTAAAACAGGTTTAAACTTCGTGGTTGCATAGCCTTCCATATACAGGTTCTTTTTCAAATGAGTTTCCGGCGAAATGGCTCCCTCGGCAACATTAAAATCGTGTAGCGAATATTTCTGCAGTCGTGTTTGCATAACTTTCAAGTACCAAAGACACCGTGTAGAAAACCTCTTGCAAATATACAAAGGTTCTGTCACCGCTAGATAAAGAAAGTTAATTAAAAAATCTTCAATTAAGGAAAATAAATCAACAGAACAGAAGAACGAAACCTCTCTTAATAGATTCAATATTGATGGACGAAAATAGGAGAGATTCATCATCAAGGAATCTACGAATAGCTGGATAGGGTACTTCGAAAAATAATGAAAAATGCCGTTATTGACGCCCAAAACGAAAGCAAGTACAAGATCGAGACTCATTCTCATAGTGTTGATTAAGATGGGACTCATTGCTCAAAGTACAAACAAAGATTTTTAATTTAAATGGAAATTCAGTAACATCTACAACTCATCTGATGATCTCACTATTGTAAAGATAATGTATTGATCGAAAAAAGCTCTCCTGCGGCCCTTTTGGTGCATTCAGGTATTAATTACAAATAAATACCAAAAATACATAAAAAATACCTCCGGCTGTATTTCCGGCTGGGTAACACCTTTAAAGTATTTTTCCGAAGATCTGATCAAAGCAGGGACTAATGAAGTGGCTGAAACAGATTCCGAAGTCCTTACAATCCAGATATCGAAGAAAAGAAGAACAAGAACAAGAAAACAACACAAAAAAGAAATACAACAAGAGTTTCTAAAGTGAAATCAGAGAGAGGAGCCATATTGATTAATCGATCAAACTTCTTCTTGAACTCTATCTTAAAGAGCACCGAAGAAATAGTAAAGATGGATTTTAACTTAATTATCCTAACATTTTTTGGATACGGCACAATATTTCTGTTGTCGCTAGTCGGAAATTCTCTCCTTATACACATTATACGAACAGACACTTCCATGAAGACTGCAATTAATTACTTGATTTTAAACCAAGCTTGCGCTGATCTTCTCATTCCATTCATGCGGTTGATGGAAAATCTTCGTTACAGTTCTTATCATGGATTGTGGTTTGGAGGAAATATGGGTCACATTACTTGCAATTTATATCTTGCAAGCTTTTTTGTCCTTCCATCTTTTTCTATTTTTCTACTTGTAGCAATTGCTGTCGATCGCTTCTACGCAGTATTTCGACCTTTGGATAAGACGCCGATTTCTCGAAACATAAAAATAGTAATTCTGCTATTGTGGACATGCTCACTCATTAGTCCCACAGCCGTTTTTACTAACCGGCACCTAGAGACTAAGAATAACTCTTACTTCTGCCAACCGAGCAAGTTTATGGAACTTTATGAAGGGAAAAAATTTAATGTCATATCATTAACCCTTACCGTCGTCATTCCCCTGACGCTTTTGGCAATTCTATACATTGGAATATGCATCAAACTATGTTCACGTCAGGCACCCGGAGAAGGAGCAAGTCAAAACCAACGCCAGCTCCAAATTATAGCGACAGCAAGAAAGGTTACCCTGATGATGATCGCAATCGTTGTTTTATTCCTCATTTGCT